CACATCCACTTACTGTGTGACTGTCATTTTATGTTCAGTGGTTAAATTATAGGCCGAGAAACAATTACTCTGGCAATGGCTAAAAATGCTCTTGAACAACAGTTTTCAATCCGTCATTTTTATCCCACTGTACATAACATACAATAGCAAATCAAATATCATGAAAAAAAAAACATTTAATTATGCTTTGCAAAATAAACTTGGCTCATTTGAGACCAGTGAAACAAACCATTTGCGGTATCCTTTTGTTAACAAGGAAAATGTTTCCAATAGAGAAAATAACAAAACATAAATCAACTATTGGATAGAACCAGCAACTCAGAGGGGAAATGTGGCTGCTCACATTTATTGGTCTCTTCTAACCACTTTGTTATAACTGTTTACTATCAGAAATGTAGCTTACGCTATCAAACCGCATCAACAATGGGTTAGAAATGCTGTGTTTACCCTTAACAAGAAATCCAAGGACTTATACCACTCTTTAAGAGCATGCTTGTAGTTAAGGTGTTCAAAGACTCTAGCAGAAACTTTACTAAATATTTAGGAAAATTTCTCCTCAATAAAAAAACAGCATTTTTTTTGCTCCACTCATTTATAAATTAGTGTGTGCATTATAAAACCAAAGAAATGTCTTTTTAAGTTTCAGAATGTCCAACAAACAATATTTGAGGAGGTGAGCGTTCCTCTGAGATCAGGGCATGGACAACCACATCCTAAAGTGAAGGGGGATTGTGTTATATGTGCATCATTTAAATGTACAACGACACCACAAGTCAGGCTTCAAAAGCAGAGTGGAGTGCAGTCAAAGCAGCAATTACTAATATGAATGATGAATAACAGAGAATGAGAACATGGGTGCGAACCACTGGCAAAATGTTTTTAAAAAGGAATATTTGCGGCCCTTTTGATACACATCTATTTTTGCTCCACTAGTTTAAATCAAAATAGTAAGAGACACCTGTGCTCAGTCCGGAGAACACCAGTGGAGAGTGATTTCTATAGAAAGCATGTTATAAACAGCACAGAGGGGGACCGCAAATCTTGTCATTGACACAACAGTCTGAGTGAGCATGCGGCTGTACATGTGTGTGTATGCCTGCCAGCTCCCAGTCTAGCGCTATTGTCTAACAAGGTCTAATTAGCACTATGGCACAATGAATTAGCATAATTATGCAAACAGGGCTGCGCTAAAGGCCTGGCACAAGGGAAGGCTACAGGGGGTACCTATTATAACACACATGCACATTTAAAAATGTGCACACGCACGCAGAGTGCTCATGAGCAACACGGGTATGACATATGAAAACTTGCATAGAGTGTCTTGCGATACAGAAAACACAAACGTCCAACTCTTAAACAGAAAGTGGAAAGAGGGAGCGACTGCTCTCTACAGTCACTGGCTAAATTGATACGCTATTTCTCTGTCTGTTCTGCTATACTGATACCTCTGTCGTCTTTAGAAATGCATCCTCCTGACAAAAGCACCCCCCCCCTCCCTCGCTACCTCCACAAATATCAGATATACACACAGAAATTATCTTCTCCCCACTACCCAGGCTCTCAACATTCAAACATTCAGAGCTTATAGTATTTACCAGCGGGGGTGATAGGTGAAGTCTGTGGGAGATAATAGGGATGACTGAGAGGCTGAAAGGCTGGTAGCCATTCATACAATGACAGACGTAGCGAAGAAGGCTCTGTTACGCTTCATTAGGATGGTTGGCTCTTGATTACACACAAACGTGCGCACACACACACACACGGTCATGTTACCTTCTCTTTAGAGAATATTAAACTACTCTAATCTACCGCAGATGTCGCTTAAAAGGTTAGACATACTACACACTGAGCTTGTCCTAAAACTAGCTTCACTTCAAAGTCACTTTTTTTAAATACTGCCGCCATGCTAGAGGGACAACGGAGAGGACAGTGAAGCGTCAGAGGCTTTCTGCCTCTTTTAGTGATGGTTGTACATGTAAATATCGCAAAAGTAAAAAGAAAAGTCTAAACAATTTATATTTCTTTTTTCTGAGAACACGCGCTCATCTCCAGTCTCATATGCAGGTCAGCTTTAACCACCACAAAAAATGACCATTGGCTATTTTTCTACTTGGCTGTGAAAGGATGGAGGCAAAAAACATTCTTCCTCATAATCTTCTTTCCTTTGAAGAACCAGTTTCAGTAGCCTGACGTTTAAACCATACGTGATTCTAGCCAGTCATATCTTGTGACTGAATAATCAGTTGAAAAATTCCCTTTTTGATTGACAATCACCCATTTCCAATTAGCAGAGAACCCTTACTTGATTTCTGGCTCGAAGGGCAAAGGGCTTAACACCACTGACCGAAGCCTCCTCCCTCCGGACTTGGAATTCTTGTCCAAGACTAAACTGAGAACCATCGCCATCACAATTTTCCTTGGATCAACATTCACACAAATGCAGGAATGAGAAAACAACGTAAGTTGATTCTGGTCTTTCCTGCATCGTTGGCTTCCACAAAGAAAAATCCCAAACTCTAAGAGAAGCTATTGCAATCAACAATTACTCCAAGTGTGTGTTAATACCCAGGCCTGCATGTTTCTTAATGGGAACACTAGTAGTTCGCTGCTCCCTTTCACTGAGACGTGAACCCAACAAATAACCTCACAGCCCAAAGAGCCCTCTTAGCAAAAACCCCGCAACATCAACAAGCTTTAAACCCTCTCAATCACACATCCACACATTCTGTGATTCATGCTTAATCACCTCCCTCCAAGGGGCCTGTGTTGAGTCCTACAAACCCAACTCCTGGCAGGCAACATTAAGTCCTGAAATCCCAAACAACGCTCGCACAAAGCTTTCTTACAATTTCGAGCCCTTACCGCCAGCTAAAGAACCAGGAAGGTCAGAAGTTCAGAGTTCAGATACTTCAAAGTGATCAAGTCTAGTCGGAGAGATGTCCGATTGTTCATTAGCAACATATAACGAGCTACAAATTTAACTGCCGCTTGATGACCTCGGGGTGACAACCAGAGGGCAGGTTTTCCACACGGCTACCTTATAAGGTGCTAATTAAGGGTGATGTTACCTTTCTCCTCCTTCAAATGAGACCCATAGAAACCCAAATCAGCTAAGTGTACATGCATTATTGTCTGAAAACTCCCTCTAAGGTCTGATTCTATAAATGATGTGCCATCCTTTGGTGGTGGGCTGTTTCTAAAGAATTTGCTGATATTAAGCTGTAATGAATGAATATCAGTTTATTTAATCTGTCTTGGTTTTGATTTTTTGTTCCCTGGTGTATACTTTCAGAAAATGCATGCATTAAAAATAGTATTGTGTTACAAAATATATGCGGCTCCACAATCAGCGATTTGTTGTCAAACAGGTTTAAAACGATTGTTTTCTGAGGAGCATGACATCATCACTGAGACAGGCTCTCCATTTCCTAAAATCTTCACTGGGATGCTTTGTCTGCTCCTCCCATCTTGAAATAAAGCCATTGACTCAGGCTTATCTTCACCTTAAGAAACAACATATTGTTCACGTACGTGCACACTTGTGGAACAAACACAATAGCGGGAGAGAGGCTCACGCTGAGAGGGGGTAGCACTTTTAAGCTGAGTCCACACATTTTGGATGCAGTGGGTTAATCCGGCCAGGCTTTTTAGCCTGCTATTCAGGAGGACAAGGACCCCTAGGATTTGGGCTTGTCCACACCTCAGGGGTAGGGGATTATCAGGACAGCAGGAAAGGTGGGGCGGGTGTGAGGGTGGGTGGTGTGAATTTGTGGTTATTAACGTGGTGGCAGTCGTAGATTTGTGCTAACGTTGTGACCGGTTGTATATTTGACAAAGCACACAGAAGTCAGAATGTGTGTGCTTGTGTGGTTTGAAGGATTTCAGTCTCATTTCCACCCCCAAATATATACCCTGAAGCTCCAACAAGGTCACCTCTGGGCCTTTCAGAGCCTCCTCTCAACCAATCCTAATTGATCTCACGCATTACTAGTCCCAAACATGAGATGGAGAGAAGGAGGGAGATGCTTGCCCCATTGTTTGAGGAATGAGGTTCCCTTTGCTAGTGGCTCTACACTCCTTATACACATACACACACACGTTCCACCTCTGGCATGCCCACCCACCTTCTCCCCCTATTCTCCTATCCTTTCCTCTATGCTCTCATCTCCGGCTGTGCTAATCCACTGGCCAAGTCAGGAACTCTGTTACCCATCTGGCCAAGTATGTCTCCAGCTGGGAGAAATGGAAGGGCAGAAAGAAAAATAGGGGAAGTGAAAGGGAGGGATTGTAAACTGAGAGACAGGAATGTGAATGAAGGGGGTACGGTCATCAAAATATCTTGTGTGTGGGTGAACACCTTTCTGCTAGTTATTACTTTGTATATACTAGAGGAGGAAGGCAATGCAGAACAGAATGAATGAGGTATCCAAAAGGTGGCACAAAATTGACCTCGACTTTTTCCCTCTCCAAAGAGAAAGCATGGAGCCTCGTGTCCTCTGGCAAAGAAAAGGGATTATCCATATTAGCAGGCTGTAATGGGAGTTGCCACTGGGCTCTGTCATGAATTCTACAGTTTGACTCCAGTGTGGTGAAGAGGCCGCTAGCCATCACATTCAGCTCTTACTCCAACTCCTGTGGAGCCATCTGACTCCGTAATGTTAGTCTTTAACATTTCCACAACCACACATTCCCATCACACGCCTGAAGAAGAAGATGCATAGAAAGCAGTGTATAAAGAAACAAAGGCAAACATATCTCATAACATCAGTGTTGTGAAGATAGAGAATCCAGAGTTTCATCATCAAGATGAAAAAACTCCAGGCAAATTAAACTTGATAGATAAAAGTACACAACATGGTACAGAAGAAACAATTACAGCATTTTCATTAAACTAACCAAACAGCACAAAGCAAAACACAAACTACAAGTGTTTGTGTGGTAGTTATCAGTTAATAACGAACAAAATGAACTTGTAGCAATATTAAGAGTTCTATACTCACAGACATTGCCGGTGTTGTCAAAACTTTTAAGCACTTCATTAACTCTAAGAGGCCCCAGGTTATCCCTGCAAAGAACAGACACATAGACAATCAAACAATAATCTAAAGAAAGACATTTCATGATAAAAAGCAAAAAAAACTCAATATATAGTTGCATTTTCCTACAGAAGTATAACATTTAAGCTAAATGTTATCCTATTTTACATTTATCAACAATTGTTAGGATTAAAATATTTCTAAAATTATTTCTAACTAAAATTCCTTTGGTTTAATTTTAAATATGCTTTCAGGATTTTCCTCAATATTTGATGCTAAAATAAATCTACAAGATATTCTGAATGCAATGACATTTATCATAAAGAAATCTGATCAGTATATAAAAACCATTCAAAGGAAAAGCTCCATCAACATGCTGTGCGCTGTGGTTTGTCATTGTCTAAGAACTAACCACAGATTCCAGATACATCAGTGAAGTGTCCTAACATTTGACAATTACAGTTTACAGCTGGTGGCATCCCAACTCTGCACTGTTTATATGTGAGGCTGCATAGATACCTGAGTAAGGCACTGTACTCAGGAAGGCAGACACTTCTGTACTCCACCCACTGGTCATCTGAGGTATCATTTAGTTCCTGCGCCACCACCTTTTTCCTGCTGAAGAGGTCAAACGATGCGAACCTGCGAACAGACACCTGTGGGATCTCCACACTGTCTGCCTGCTTCTGACGCAACACCTGGCAGAAATGTCAAAGCAGACCACATCCTTTAGTTTATTAAGTCATGTCAAGCATAAGAATTTATGTGTGCATGTCACCTGTTTCAGGAACTCTGATAGACTAGTTGAACCGCGTCCTTTTTTCACTTGAAAATACACTAATCAAATACCAAATTAACATCCATAAAAAATTATATTTGTATGAAAAATAAAATGTTCTAAACAGATTCTCTTTTCAAATAGTGTAGAGAATGTGTCATTTCCATTAATCAGGCAAAACATGCAGACAATTAACTGAAGTTGGTCAGGATGATGTGCCAAATGAAAAGACAATCCCAAGAACAACAACAACAATAATAATAATGATAGTAATAATTGTAATATATAATAATAATTATCAATAATTTGCTTAGTTATATCAGATTTGTTTATTTGTATGCTTAATGTTGTTGTATAAAGTGACAAAACATAGTCGTCATATTGTAGCGAACTACTAAGAAGCAAAACACTGTGTGGGCTGAGAATATAAATCTATAAAGTGTGAACTCCACCAGGTAGCTGCTAACCAGAGACAGTAAAATAACCACCATAACCAGGGAGGACTAGTTCTTCACCAATACCAGTCCAGAATTAAAAGGGACTGTTCTAATGAAAAAACAAACCCAGAGGGCTGAAAGCACACGAGTGATTTTTAAAACAATTTTACAAATATCGTTCACTTGACGTTAGCGCCTCTTGTTGAGGGCACACTTCCACTAAAATGGGGTTCGCGAGAACCGACGCTTCACCGAGCAGCTATTGAAAAGGAGGCTGCCCACCTGTCGTAGAAGAGTCCATCTGGCTCGAGCCACGTCAGTCGCACCGTCGGTTCCTCCTTGCAAGTTTCGGCTATGAGGTGCGCAGGCGTCGTCGTCAATATTTCCAATCAAAGGCGAAGCCGGGTGGGTTTTGTCTGCAGAGCCGGTGGACTTACTTTCCATTTTATCACAAATGTTTTCAACCGGAGATTGGTCTGTTTTTTAATCCAGTCAGCAGCTATCTGTATGAATGAGGTCTAATAAAATGAAAACAAGACGTAGTATAATGACCAAAGAAAAGGAGAAATGACACTAAATGTGGACAAACAGAAATCACCTGTTACACTACCAGTACATGCATGTTACTTCCGTACACTTTTGCCCTAGAAGACATAACAGTCGATTACCGAAATCACCGAACTCGATTTAATGCTGTAAACGTGGACTGCGCATGAGCAGGTTTGACTAGTTTAGTCTGGCACTGCTGGCTACGTCACAAAGTCGGCTTTGTTTAGGAAATCATGCACGTGTGATCAGGCAGCTCGCAGAGACTGTTTTTACGCTAAATATTACAGGTTAAAATGCGATTTTTATTCATATATTGAGTGCGTTTGTTATCGCTATCATAATATGCAGACCCTAGTAAAATATAACTGTTAAACAAGCTAATTAACAGGTTTATCAAAATGGTCGTTGTGGCGCCTTTGATGTGTTTTCCTGCCCGTCTCCTCACACTTTGCCCGTCACAGTTTTGGAAGATTGCAGTTTGCAAACGGAAAACTAGTCTGCCTTTGTGTGGTGGGCATTTCTTCATGTCGGTAAGGGGGCCAGAGAAAGTTAAGGCGCTGCGTGTACTCTTCTTTGGTTTGCTGTTAGCGAGTCTGACCAAAATAACCTTCATCATTGGCTTAAAATCGAATTAACGGGCCATTTTTCATTACCTTAGGATATAAATCAGTTTAGAAAATATTACATCGCACTATGTTAATCCTGTGCAAAAAAAATAGACAAATAAAGGAAGAGCTGTAAAAATGATGGTTCCTCCAATATTACACCCAAGTGACAGGTTTGACATTATTTTCAAGAAATAGTCGCTTCCATTTGTATTTCATGTTTTTACAACATTGCTATGATACGGACTGAATAAATTATACTTCTTTAAGTTTGTAAAGTATGTTCTGGTGTGCACAGTTAACTATGTTGGAATGTTCCCAGTAATTAAAGTTTCCAGCTGCAGTGCTCTAAAATGTTTCCATGTTTTATCATTTTCCCTACTTTAAGGAAACTTCTATGTCATCAGCTGATCATCCCAGCTCTGAAACTGACAAATACAAGCATTTGCAAAAATATTTTGTCCGGAGACTGAAGGCAACATACCGCAGGTTTGCCAACATACCTAATTATTCAGAGGTGAGGATTGCGGCCTGCTATGATTATGAATCATTTACTTCATCAGCATTTACTACTGGTTTTCACAATAAACACATTTACTTTTATGGTTAAAAAGTAACTTTTTTCAGCATCACAAGTGGAAGAACAGTAACTAGTCAGTCTCCTGTCTTCCTGATTCTTATGGACAGAAAGTAACTTTTATGTCAGGACGCATCTCTTGCTTACTTTTGTGATCACGATATTAGGAGCGTAGTTTGTATTTCTGAGTGTAGTCTTGTGTATTCACTGGTGTGTGAAAAGTCCAAACATTTTCTTTATAATTCACTGGTTTATTGTGCCACAGGTCTGTGGGCGTCGCCATGTCTACTTTATTGAAGATGATGGTATTTACAGAATGGAAAAGGGTAAGTGTACACAAAATAAATTAATATACAACTATTAGTGTTATCAAAAAATCCAAAAATGTATTTTCTAGATACTTCATGGTTCACATGTAGAATAACTTATTTCATACAATCAGTGCCAAGGCCTCCTGCTGTCCTGTTGCACTCATTCCTCCTCTGTCCCTGTTTCTAGATCATATTAGGCCAGAGAAGGTGTTAAGTCTGCAGCAAGCATTTAGAAAGGATGGCAAGAGAAGATTTGAGAAAAATCAGAGGGTGAAGTGGATAGTACAGAGAATACGTCTATCCCCACGAGAAAAGCATCTGGCCGCTACGCTAAAATGTCCCGGTGAAGAGGAGCTGAGGTAAGCCAACCCGGAAAACTTGTATTTTAAATGGTTGTTCACATGATATTACAAGTTATTATTACAAGTAATTACAAGACTTTTTTTTCCCGCGTACTGAATCTATAAATATCTCATTTGGCTCTGATAAACAAGGTGTGTGGTTGTGAGACTTGATGAGAGCAGGTTCCTTCCTCTGGATCCCCAACGGGTCGTGGTCACACTGAACAGAGTCTTCAGCTTTGGTAACATTTTAGATGATTTGCAACAAACATATCTCAGTTGTTTACAGGCGAGAGCATAAGCTATAAAAGAAAAACATACATAGAAGTATGGTTATGCATATGTCTATGTGCGTTGATGCAGAGTGGGCCACCGACGACGTCCTGTTTTACACGACTTTGAATGGTCTCTGTTCCAACGCCGTGTTCCGCCTGGACCTGACCTCGGACAGAAACAGGATCACACCTGTGTACAAGGAACGTCTACCTCAGTGCGTGGGAAAAATGTGACACGTAAGCTTTCACCACCACAAAAAAAAAAAAGTACCGTAATCCATCTCTTTTTCCGTTAACTCCGACACTGCAGTGTGTTTGTGGAGGTCGCCCTGTCCAGAGACCGACAGATCTTGACCATCAACTGCAATAGCAGGACCAGCTCAGAGGTGCTGCTGAGCCATGTGACCACAGCGCGTCTGGAGCCTTTTGTCGTCCAGCCCCGCCAGCCGGACCTCCTCTACCATGTGGAGCACTGGAGACAGTGGCTGATTATACTAGCTAGTACAGGACCAGGGCAAGAATATCAGGTAGAAAATCTACAATATGAATGAAATATCATGTAAAATGTTGAAAATGGGGAACATTTTCCAACTGTTTCTGCTGTGTTCCCAACCTGTTATTTAAGTGGTATGTGTATAATACACACACTATTTACAGTCTATTTACAAATAGCTACTTTTCCTATATGTCGATTTGTTTCCTAGAACTCTGAGACAATATTTTAATCAAGCATCTAATTTGAAATGGCAAGTCAACAGATTTCCATCCATTTTCTGAACCGCTCATTCCCAAACGGGGTCTCAGATGGACCGGAGCCCGTCAACAGATATGCCATATTCATATTTAAAATAGTTCAGTTATTCAAAGCTAAGTGATTTATTTGTGCGTTGCCCAGGTGGTGAAGACCCCCCTCGCAGAACCCTCCATGTCGTCGTGGGTCTCTCTCTTTGCCCCTGGCCCTGGCATTGCCGTCAAAGACATGGACATAGTCGGAGACCACTGTGTGCTGGTTGCAAGAGCAGCAGCCGGCGAGCTCATTCTGATGGTGGTGCCACTGAGCCAGCCCAGTGGGGCGTACGTTGTGCAGGTAGGGTCTCAAAGATTAACCCAGCCTGTATCTCCCTATTTTCATCACTATAAAACAGTAAGGTCTCATTATCTCATTATTCGTCTCCAAGCTCCCCCACTGGGCTTGTGCCATTGAAACCAAGAGACCAGGCTCGGAAGACCAACAAAATGTGCTACAGTTGCTGATATCATCTCCAGGCCGCACACCGGTGCCATACTGTCTGCACCCAGAGAATGGGTGTCTTTCATCGGGTACCGGCGATTGGTCCTCCCCAGAGACACAGGCCACGTTTGTTACCACACGCCTGGAGGCCCGCAGCCAGGTGAGCACATTTGATACGCACTCACCGAAACCGGATCAGCAGGGAGAGAAGCATGTCGTAGTAAGTCAGGGGTCCACTGACAAAATTCTTGTCACAGTCGGACACCAGTGTGCGTCTACCCTCAGAGAAGAGCCGGTGATGTCACGCTGAAAACGAGCCAATAAGACCTGTTCTTAAGTCAGCCCCACCTGTCTTAAGAATAAATATAATAATCTCTATGGCTTTCCCTGGTAGGATGGCACCTCGGTGCCAGTGACCCTGGTCCACACGGCGCCGGTGGCGTCTCTGAGCCAGGCTCCATTGTTGGTCCACGTATATGGAGCCTACGGAAGAGATCTGGACATGGCATTCTGCCCGGTGAAAAGAATGCTGCTGGAGCAGGGCTGGGCTCTGGCCTACTGTCACATCAGGTAACGCAGAAGATCAGAAGACAAGCTTGTTTTCCACCCGTAGTAAACAGTCCTGAAACCAAAACCAGTGCTCCTCAACCAGAACGCGGCTACTTCCCGGCTCTTGTGAAGTGACGGCGCTCTCTGCCCCCGTATCCTTTAGAGGGGGAGGAGAGTGCGGCCTCTCTTGGCAAAGACAAGCTCGCGTGGAGGGGAAGCCCGAGGGAGTGGAGGACCTGCGAGCCTGTCTCCTTCACCTCTTCTCCTCGGGCGTGTCCTCCCCGTCCCTCGCCGCGCTGACAGCCCGCAGCGCCGGAGCCGTGCCCGTGGGCGCCCTGTGCAACCGGCACCCCGGCCTGGTGCGGGCCGCCGCGCTGCAGGTAGGAACCAGGGAGTGGAGCTTACACCGCACTGGAGTTCAGAGAAGAATATTAGTGGAGTGTGTTTCCGTGGGTTTCTGACTATACCCTGCCTTTGCCTTTATTTGAGTGTTGAATCCAAACCCAGCTGCTCTCTCTCTCTGTCTCTCTGTTCAGGCCCCTTTCCTGGATGTGCTTGGAACTATGGAGGACCCCAGCCTGCCTCTAACTCTGGAGGACAGAGAAGAATGGGGAGACCCGGTGGGCGACCCAAAACACAGACAAAGCATCGCATCGTACTGTCCACTTCATAACGTGACTCCACAGGTACGGAGGCAAAAGCACTAAGGAAGCAGCAAGTGTTTTGTTTCTCTGGTGTTCTTTTTGCTCAACATGAACGTTATCTGTATATATTAGACATACGCACACTTTGAAGGATTTCCGTGGCGTAGTGGAGAGGCTAACTGTGCTTTAATAGTTTTAACCTTTGATTTAAATAAGCCACGATGCCAACAAATGATTAAAATCTATACCCCATTTGAGATCAGAGCCTGCGTTTTAAAAAAAGCTTTTTTTAAATAAAATGGAACACTGGGTCAAATCTTGGGAGGAACATTGATTTCGGTCTGATTAGGGGCTCTTCGGGTCCCCAGTCTCATTGTCTATGTGGGAATATTTGATTAGTATTTAATGGCTTATACCGAGCACTAATAATGTCTTTATTTTGGTTTGAGACAGGACTACCCATCCATGCTGCTGACCGCATACAGCGCCGATCCCCGGGTTCCTCTGGCGGGAGTCCTCAAATACAGCGAGTGCGTGAAGAAGGCGATTCGCACACACCGCAGCACGAATCCAGAGCCAGGTAACCTCCACACACACACACCTCCAACACGCAAGCCTTCACACACGGAGGCCTTCACCGACAGGCCGCGACCCTAAAGCCTCATCAGTGGCCTTGTTACAAGGCAAAATCTTGCCTGGGCTCTCCCCCTCCCACTTTTAAGCCTCCTTCCCCACGTTGCCGGTACCCCCTCATGCTTCCCGTCTCCCCGTTCGCGGCCTACACGTTATCGGCCTCCCGCACCGTCTCACGCCTCTGTTGTCCAGGCACGCCGCACACAGCCGGAGCGTCCGGACACGCGCGCACGCGTCTCCCTAATCTGCCCCGACTCTGTTCTTCTGAGCCTTTGATAAAGTGCTGATGGTATGGACGCATCAAGGTGGGCGGGCAGGTCCATTAGCATGGTACAGAGATAGCGTATCGGAGGCAGAGATTAGAGGCTGCAGACTGGGAGCTGTCAAGGTCAAGACCGCACTTGTGAAACAGCCCGTACCAGAGACGAGCAGGGGTTTGGGGGTTTGGGGGTTTGGGGGGGGGGGGTGGGGGTAATAAGGCATGGATTTATTTATTTTATTTTTTTCTTCCTCCATTTTGTCTTTTGATCTTGTTCTATTCTTCTCTGTTTTAGAATGTGAACCGGCACCAAACATAATTGTGAACATCCAACCTGGAGCAAATCACCAGGGACCAGAAGATTTCGAGCAGCTGATGGAGGAGGTGAGAAACTCCCGAGAGGCTGAACTTTTTTGGCATGTTTTTGGGACAAATATTACAGAAAAGAATGCAAATGATAAAAAATACCTTATCTAGATTTTAAAGCCTCTGTGGGCATTCTGACTTTGTAGATGTTACACATTAGAAATGCAACCCATCCTTTTCTTAATGTACGATAAATATATATATAAACTGTACATCTAACTGACTGAGATTTTTAGCCCTCGTTCTTTCTCCCTGATATAGGAAGCCCTCAGGCTTGCATTTCTATACACAGAGCTGGGCCTGGACCCTCCAGGACCTCCAAACAGGAAAAGGAGACAAAGATTATAAGAGCCAGATGCAATGAAAGACACAACAACAAAATAAAACATCAAAAACTGAAGTGCAATCTCAGTGATTTAATTTTTTAACCACAAAATGGAATAAATCAGCATTTATAAAGTATACCAATGGTCTCCAACAAGCAGGCCTTCTCAGAGACGAAGCACTCTGCCGGGTGCTTCGGATGGAAGCGGGTGTAGGTGGAATACTGCATCACCAAACCCTCTCCGGCCTCCGTCAAGATGCTGGACTTCTGAACGGTGTTCCCGTCCCTGACCGGGTTTGTGGCCGCCACCACCTCCAGCTGGTCGGGCAGCTCCTGAACTGAGGAGAGGTCCGTGGCGGCGGACTGCGTGCCGAAGTTCAGCAGGATGAGGTACGCCGCTCTGTGTCCGTCCAGCTCCCGGACGTAGGAGAAGACGTTGGCGTCGGCGTGGACGTAGCAGAACCATCCCCGCAGAAAGGGCAGGGCCGTCTGACGCAGGCTGCTCAGGGAGCGGTACTGACTCAGCACCGAGCCTCCGTCCGCCTTCTGGACCTGGACACAGACACGAAACCGACCACAGATAGCTGCTGCTGCTGTTTTTTACATTTCCCCGGCGCCGAAAACTCCACTGAAGAGGCTTTTACCTCCACATTGACGCTCTCGTAGTCTGGGTGCACGGGTAACCAGGTGACGTTTGTCTTGTTGTTGAAGCCGGCGTTCATGTCATCGTTCCACTGCATGGGCGAACGCTCGGGGTCCCGACTGGCGCTCTACAGCGTGAGCAGGGCAGGGAACGTGTCATCTGACCGTGTTTTTTTGGGCCAATTTGTAATCTTTCGTCATTACGCCTTATCGCTCGGCTTTACGCTCTTATTAGTGTTTCTTTGACGTGTGTGCGCAGTACTGACCGCGTTGTATTTGCCAGCCGGGTCCTGGATCTGGCTCTCCGTGACATTGATGTTCTCCATGCCGATCTCTTCGCCGTAATAGGTGGTGGGCGTGCCAGGCAGGGTCAGCAGCATCATGTTGATGGCGCGCACGTAGGTCGGACCCGCGCTGGAGGCAATTCTAGACCTGTCATGGTTCCCAACCTGGCAACGTAAGAGACGCATGTTAGCACACAGAGGCCTGAAAAGTACGAGCTGATGCGTTAAAGGGAAAAAGCTCTAGTTAAAAGCAACAGGGTGAAAATACTACTGCGCACTGTTACAGCTACAGAAGGGGAGTAAATGAGGCTGCATGAGTCAAGAGGCAGTAGAAATGAGGCCGAAAATAACCCCCGGTGAGGTCATGGAGAAGTGGTTTTGGTCTGAAGCCACGTCTCCACGACAAAACAGTCTGCTGATGACCTCAGGAGCACAAACACGCCTTTGTGTTCAAAGCAGGCACAACGTGTTCTCTTCAGGATTACTCATGCCAAGAGAAGTAACCTATCTCTATGTATCTCTATCTATCTATCTGGAGGAGGGTTCTTGTTTTAAAGAGCCCTGAAAAGAGAGAGGAATGCAGCCAGAGGGACTCACCACCCAGTTGGGCCACTTCCCCAACGGCATGTTGGCCATCCAGAGGTCGACCAGATGTTTGGCCCACGCCCCGCTTTTGTTGTGAGGCAGATCCAGCAGGTAGAAGTTGAAGGGGAAATCGCTCTCTTTGATCAGCCGGGTTCCGTAGTACATCATGGTCTTCTCCACCTCGTGGTAGTCGTACGACTCCGTCACCATGAACCTGCCGAGCCACACACACACCATAATGTTTCGAACGCCGAGCTTCCGCCCGTTTGGGACGCCCGCCGGCCACATGGCGACACGTCCGCGCGGCCCCCGGTACCTGTAGCGGCCAGGCTCCCGGCTGTAGGCGTCCATCTCTGCCCTGAACTCCCTCAGCAGGTCGTGCAGCCCCAGCTGGGTGTAGGTGTAGTCGTGGTGGAGGTCCCACTCCGTGGTTACAGACTCCTGCAACGGAATGCGGCCGCTTCAGTGGAACTCAAATTTTTGTCGCATTGCACCTTTTGATTTTTTTCCCGCTTTGCGTTAAAACCACAAAGTAGAGATTTATGAATTGATTCTAAGGATTCCATAATGACGTATAGTGGAGTTTGAGAAAGATCTGGTAGATTCCTCTTTCCCTTCAGAGTGAGAAGAGCTCGTCTTTCAATCCGCTCCATTCCCAGGAAAGCACGGAGTCCATTTAAAGGCCGGGCAGATGGGAAGTAAGTAGAAACCAAATCCCCAAAGTTGAAAAGACGCAAAAAAAAAGAGCACAATGACTGCTGGGTTCATTAACCCAGAGTCATATATGCTGTTCGAATTAAAGTTTTGCTCTGTTTGACGACTTTTTTGTTCGTCGAGAAAATGCAAAGAGAAGGTAAAGGCAGAAAAAATTGTTCTTTAAAAAAAGGTGGGTATAATCTTGAGCATCTACTTCAAGAACATCAAATAAGAACTATTGTGGCTTTTTTTTATGTGTGTGAGAAGAAACCCAAAGCACAGTGAAGATGGCACGGGCACACCAGTAAGCAGTTAAGAGATGCTTTACTGTTTCTTACAGTGTATTTAATCAATAAGGATCTCTCTTGTGCCAAACAGTGACTCTGTAGCATAAATCTAAATCTGAGTCTACTGCTAAGTCAAGAGGAAGCATACGAGTCAGTCCCAGTATGCTGGAATTGCTCCGCGTTGGTCAGTAAATCCCAGTGACTCACTAATCCTCTAAAATATGCTACTTTTCAACTAATCTTCCTCTGTGGGAAAAAAGAAAAAACCCTCAGCCTCTGCGGAACAAAAAGTCTTTCTCGCTGAGCTTAAGCCAGCGTGTGTCACGGAGTCGCCGTGCTGCAATTACAGTGTTTTTCCTCCTGAATGGCACAGGATGAACCTGACGTCCAAGCCAAAGATAAATGATGAAGGGCACATCACGTACAGTGCCAGGAACCTCCCACTGGACTCTCCATGGTGTTTGCTCTGACGGCTGCTCTGGGAGGCAGCGGCTGGGTCAGCGGAGGCGTCTCTGCCCGCAGCGCCGCTTTCATGAACTGCATTGTTCAAATCTGGACCCCGAAACGTCACTTACGAGTCAACGGAATAAATTCATGCCTGTATAATTGAAGGTTACAGTGAGATTGTTAAATACGTTGAACTTTGAGCTGTGGAAGTTACTGTTAGTGTGAATTAAAATTTAACGTGACATGCCAGGGCGGAGAGCTTTTATTTTTATCATTTCCAGAAAGATGATAAGGACCTATTACATAAGTGCTTTTCTTTTAGTGCCAAAACAAATGACTTCATCAGCTGGGATCAGATGTCCAGTCCGCGGTGTGAATCTTGTAGTAGATTATCCGTCCAATTGTGAGGTGAAAAGCAGGCATTTGTGTGATTTTCAGTGCAAACTGAATATTCAGTGTGGTGACTGCTACAGTAAAGGGTTGAGGGCGGGTGAGTGATGGATCGTCTGTTATGACCAGTGGGGGTAACACTCACCGGCGGTCTATCTGGATACACTTGTGGTTCGTCCCTGAGGTGTTCAGCTTCCAGTATGTGCTTCACCGCATCCATCCGGAAGCCATCCACTCCCTTGTCCAGCCAGAAACGAATAAGATCCTGCGATGAAATGATAAAACCCCAGAATATTAACACCATACGGAGGATCTGACTCCTTACAGGATGTGTTTTCGGCGGAATTTGCATGTTCATTAAACATTTGTGTGGCAAAGGATCATTGAGACACGCAGGGAGGGCTTACGATGATCTCCTGGCGGACATCTGGGTTCCTGAAGTTCAGGTCGGGCTGCTCCTTGAGGAACTGGTGCAGGTAGCATTGTCCTCTCACTTCATCATAGGTCCATGACGAGTTTCCAAACACACTGACCTGCATGACACGAGGGGGAGAAATGTCCATCTGACCACTCCACCAATAGAGAGACCCTGCATGATTTATTTCTACGATGGGCTACTGGACGTTGCCATGCAACCAGCGACGGTACGGACCCAGTTATTGGGCTTCGGTGAGGTTGAGTTGCAGTCGGCCCACACGTAGTAGTCCTCGTAGTGAGGGTCTCTAGTCCGGCTCAGGTTGAACCAGCGGTGGCGGTCGCTGGTGTGGTTGGGAATGAAGTCCATGATCAGCTTCAAACCTGAGGGGAACAGAAGCAGAACGTACAACCAAGCACTGACTCAGCCCCCCACCCCACACACACACACACACACACACACACACCAGCACAGCCCCAATGAGCTCACGCACCCCTCTGGTGCATTTCAGCCAGCAGATTTTCAAAGTCCGCCATGGTTCCGAAGATGGGGTCGATGTCTCGGAAATCCTCTACATCGTAGCCGAAGTCCCTCATGGGAGACCGGTAGAAGGGACTGATCCACACCGACTTGATGTTCAGGTACAGGAAGTGATCCAGCTTCTCTACGATTCCTGCCGGAACACAGACACCCCTCACATAGTGAGATGCACTGACCCAAAATCCAACCAGTCAGATTAGAAAAAAGGGGGAAAATACATTGCTGAAGCGTCATTATTTAGAAAATGGTGGAACGATTTGGAAAAGGCTCTCATATCTTCCAATAAAGCCTACAGCAGGGGGGGGGAAAGACAGTCAAACAGGAGAGTCAAAGTAAACACTGCAATCAGCCTTCTTTTCAACTTTGGTGAATTCTCCAAAGACTAAAGTCAAAGCCTGTATTCATAAAAATATTTGTGATCAGCTGAGTAAAAGATAAGTATTCTACAAGGGTTTATTCAAGTAAATGATCCACCGGTGTTTGATAGGTTGAACTGCACGTGCAGTTTATGATTGGAAAAACAGTGATAAGAACAGCTCTGCAGTTTCAAATCTATCTGGCTGTTGTGTAATCTTGTTTTTTTATATGTAATAATACAGTTATTATAGAGCTGAAGACATCTAGAGAGAAAAAATGTGAGTTTGTCCTTAGGTTGAGACATGCTGACTTCTACGTGGCTGATAAAATGTAACTTTTAGGTCTACATGGTGTCCAGTTGTGGAAAAGAACATGAAAGGCCATTTTTTAGTTCACTTATGAACTTGTTGTTCTTCGACTGGTAATCCCCTCTTAGTCAAAGAAAGTCCACCAGCGGTTATTAAAGTATCCCAAAAGGTGAATGCAAAATGCTAGAGTCCATATGGGGGATTAGCACCTTTGAGGTCCCCGATCCCGTCCCCGTCGGAGTCCTTGAAGGAGCGGGGGTAGACCTGGTACACGGGGGACGCCTGCCACCAGCTCAGGCACCTCGGGGACACGGCGACGACCGTGACGGTGACGGCCACCAGCGCCAGGGTGCAGCACACCGTCAGCCAGAACAGGATCTCCCTGGGCACCCGGTACCGGGCCTGGGAGGAGTACCGCAGCAGCACCTCTTTGGGCATCCCCGCGTACGGCCTCACCTGCGAGTACTCGTCCCCCACCACCGCCACCGCCGCCTCCGGCTCCACCACGGCGGCGACGCCGTCCTCCCTCCCGGCGGAGGGGTCCTCCGTCCGGGCGGAGTGGTCCTCCCTCCCGGCGGAGTGCTCCGCCGCCGGTTCGTCGCCGTCCGCGTCCCGAAAAGCGGGGTTTCTGGTGCCCTCCGCCAGCTCCACGCGACCGCTTGCTTTCTTAAAACGCATATTGTTTCGAATTCTTTTTGTTTTTTCGACTGAACCAAACCCGTGGAGGGAGAGTCTGGGGCAGCCTGGCTGCGGCTGCTGCTGAGGCGGGAAATGCTCCTCACGTTCCGGAGCCCACGGTGCCCTGTGGGAACTTTATCGGAATAGTTACAGATTAGCATTTCTTATCTCGTCGCTGGGGCTGAATAGAGGAGGGCGACATTCATTACACAGCCACCCAGGCAATGTTGAAATATTAACCTCCAAACTATACATAAAACAAGGTCCAACTTTTTACCACAAGTTTAATATCTGTAGATGTAACACGTTAACACGTCATTCCGCATCAACACGAGCTCATAATTAGCTGAATATTACAAAAAACATTTAAAAAATCTCCCATTAAACTCATCCCACAACGTGAATAATGAGCCAACTTAGAGTATATATATTTAAAAAAACAGCATAGGGAACATGACAGGAACTGAAGCTGTGTATTCAGACTGGCGAGGGTGTCAAGATTGTATAAAACATGTTTAGTCCTAAAGAGCAAAGGATGAGGACAATTTCTGCCTATAAATGAAAACACTTAACCACCCACGCCAAGGTATTGCAGGTAGAAACAGACTGGACATGATTAAGCCCTTCATAACTCTGCCTTTAGTTTCTCAGCGACTTTATTTCATTTTTAATTGTCTATATATTCTCTACTTGTGTGGCTCAGTGAATTCTTTCTGCAAGTCATTTTATTCATTTCACTCAGCTGTCCAGTATCTTACTTATGTATGTATGTATGTATGTATGTATGTATGTATGTATGTATGTATGTATGTATGTATGTATGTATGTATGTATGTGTGTCTCTCTCTCTCCCTCTATATATATATATATATATATATATATATATATAGAGCCCGGTGGGGGCTACTGAGCCGGGGTCCGGGACTCCCCTTTAAAAGGAAAAGCCTGCAATCCCCCATAACTCCATTCACTCTGCATCAACAGTTGTAGCTTGATAACTATATAAAGCAAGAAGGAGGATGTGCCTTGACCCTTCAGAAATCATTTCAACTTCCAACAGACAGTGGATGAGTGATTTCAGCTCAGAGGGGGTTCCATTGCACCGGATTGTAGTTGAATGGTCATCCAGACTATTCTACAGGAGCCAAAAAACATCTGGATATACTTCTATTAGCCTATATGTTAAACAATTAGGGTTAAAATAAGGTTTGTCACTTTTTTAGGAAACTTTCCAGTAATTCTGGGAATTACTGGAAAGTAAAATATCTGAGTAAAATCCCTCGTGACGATAGCGCCACACAACCACAGGAGTTGTTCTCGACAATCTGACCAGTTGCGTCATAAAAAAAAGGGGGTAAACAAAATAATCCAGAGGCCTATCTCTGACATTCGAGTGCATGAGAAAAATAAGTAATCTTCTACCGAGGTCAAAAGAGATTGCCTCTTACTTCGTTGGGACCTTCACGCATCCAGAAACCTGCCAGAGAACTCCCCTCTTAATCAGCATGATGTGGAAACACAGTGAAAAGAAAACAGCCCGGTTCTACAGGGTTCTTCGTCTGACCGATGCTCGTTCTGTCGACCCAGAACAACAGATAGCCCGACATTTTTGTGTAGTACAAAGTTAACAAGGTGTCCTCGGAGAACCGCTTATCTATTCAGCTGTACTGAGCGGTGCTTTCACAAAGATAAGCTCGCCTTTCTAGACAGACAAAAAGCACAGCGATTTAAACTTAAATCCATCTTTTATTGATGTTTATGTTCACGGTATGGCCTGTAAACTTCACAACAGCATACGGGGAACTCAGAACAGGAAGAAGGGATGACAAACTCAAACCTGCCCGCTTAGCAAAGCATCGTGATGTGAGAAAAACACCTGGAATGAGGAGAAAAAACGCTACACAATATGGAATTTACCTATGTAATAATACATCAGTCAGTTCTTAATGAAAACACTACGAGGGACCAGTGACATCAGGAACAGCGGGAAGCTATTTTCGTTCTCGATAGCCTGGATGAGAAATGTGTTGTGTGTTGACATCCTGTCTCCAGACTGTTGCTTCTCTTCTGATGTCTTCAGTCCACCCCAGTTGGCCCAGAATATCTGACAACCTCATGAGGTGGTTAGCTTTGAAAAATGCTTGTCTCAACAATCAGTCGTGGTCCAATCGTTCACCTTCCAATAGAAAAACTGGGAAATGTCCCATGTGGGCCCTCGATACATATGTTCTTTGTTCCAAAATAGCTTGTTTTGTCAGTCAGTGACTAATGAGGAGAGGATGTGATGCTGCAGTGCTGCTTGTTTTCAGTCCATCCATGTAATCAGTGAGTAAAGAAAATCTACATTCAGAAAGATAAACCGTCCCCCCTTCCCCCCTCAACTCCTCTCAAAGCCCAGTGTCTGATATAGCTTAAACATAAACCTAACCTGGAGACTGTTCAATGTGGTAAAACTTTAAACAATGTTAACAAGTCCTCAATGATTTAACAAATATTTCTAAAGTGTGCTAAAAAAACCAAAATGCTGTTTGGGATTTTAAAAAGGAGATCCATCAAAGCTTTTCTGAAAGATCTGCCAATGAGGTTCATTTAGATGTGTTCAGTCTGTCTGTAGGTTGTTCTTACTGACTCACTTACATTGCATTCTGCCACACTGAACACCCCCCCTCCCCCCCACCCTCCCCCCCCCTCAAGTGCATCACACAAAATACACTCCCTCCATCAATCACAAAACATGCACCATTATGGAGCCCATACCTCCCACTCCCTTCACCACAAAAACAAAAAAGTAATCATTTCTAAAACTGCAAAAGAACTAAACATTCAAGTACCTATTTGTCATATGGCACCGAGAGCAAGTGTACCACAAAAACATGAGCCAGCCAGCAATCTAACAGGCCGGCGTCCAAAAGCAAAGCTTCAAGCAACAAAGAATGCATCTTTTTTTTGTTAAAAATAAAATAAAATAAAAAATAAAATCATCCCAAACGACAGGAAAAAAAATTGTTCTCAGATTTGTTTTTTAAAATCTGATCCATTGTTTTTGCATATTGATGCAAGTCCATGAGGTCTGCAGTGGGGACACTGAACAACTTTACCATCCTTTCTTCACACAGTGACAGGATTAAATCCTTTTCCTCTCCTATACACTGCACAAAGTGGAATTCATACCCAGATGTTTTCATTGTTGTTGTCATTGGTGAGAAACTGAAAAGTAGATGAGACTTGTTTTTTTAAGCGCACGGGACAGAGAAGGCGAGCAGCAGCATGAGCAGGACTGAGTGTGTGTGTGTGTGTGTGCAGGGATGGAGGGGGAACGTGGAAGTGAAGAGGAGGCTGGAACTCTTACCCCCAAACCCTGTCTTTGGAAAGCTGCTGTGAAGGAACGGTGTGCGCATCTAGGAGGCATTTTTCATACTGCACACGCACGTTTGGCCACAATGAACACCGTGGCTACGGAGTGAGACAAATCAAAATATATATTTCTAAATATTTCTCTATCCATCTCTCTGCATGTGTGTGTATGAATGATTTCATATATAATTTCTATCTTAAACAGCAGGTTCAAAGCTTATAATTCTGGCAATGTGCCCTGCAAATAACTAGTCTCTTCTGTTACTGTAGAAGACAAAGCTAAAATAGACAGAGAGGAAAAATTGGCAAACATCATTTAAGAGACAAGAGAAGAAGAAAGTGAGCAGAACCGTGCAAGAAGAATCAAAGTGTAACGAGTCCGCAACCCACTTCCTGTTTTCATTTGGACATATGGAGGAGCCGAACGGAAATGGTTGCCAGACAGCTCAAAGTCCTCCTCCCTCCCCCGTGTTCAGGAGTTGGTCCTCAGGCCCTGAACTTGCAGCTTTAACCCAGAGGTCTTTGAACAGCGGGGAGCTTAAAATCGGGGAGCTTGGTCTGGCACTCTCCGGTGAGCGAGGCGTGCGGGTCGATTCAACGTTCCGCCCCGTTTGGAGTACCAGTAATACAGAGACCCCGACGCCTCGACCGGACTCTTTAGCTTATGTGGGAGTGGCTGGCTTGTGTGGTCCATCAACTGCAGGTCAGACGAAAGAAAAGCTCAAAACAAATAATGCCACAAACAACTTGTGTCTTTTTATAGTCATTAAAACATCTGCAAGTGGCCGGGCGGCAGCACCGGGGGCTGGCTGCAGAGTCCTGTGCTCCTCCCACCTCTCTCGGGTCTGATCAAGGCACCATAGAGTTTCAAGGCTTACAGAGCAGCTCTGCTCTTATGTCTCCTCCAATCACAAACAAAAACCACAGAGAAAGCAAGAAAACAAACGGCAAGAGTGAATGTGCTTATTTATGCCTTTCGTTTTGTACTATACGTTGTTCTGTAGTGCAGTTTTATTCTCAATTTGTTCATAAAAGAAAAAGAGTCCTCCTCTGTGGGTGTAATCCTAAAACCAGGGGGTTCTGTTTGATTAGTTCATCGGTGTAGAAAAAAAAAAATCCAGGTGAAATTAAAAGTATGAATGTGATCACATGTGGAATAGTGGTCCTGTGTTTCGATTTGTTTTTATCTTTGATCAGGCAGTTGTGCTGGACAGCTACCAGCGGCACTCCAGATCCGCTCCACTCTGCAAGAGGAAAGACATGAGGAAGGAGAGAATAAGAAGAAAAACAGGGAGGAAGAGAGAATAGAGATGGCAGAAAATGACAGCGGGATAGGAGGAAACGGGGTGACAGAGTAGAAGAAGAAAAAAAAAAAGAGGGGACACTGTTACAAAATGTAGAAAAATGTATAGTCACTCTCATCGTTTCCTCCCCAACCTGGATTTCAAGGCCAGGTTTTCCTACAAACACAAAAAACAGAAAGGAGTTACGAGGGGAGTGTAAGCCTGGGCACACTGTAGACCGACTGTACAGTAACACACTCCCGCAGCTTCAGGCCCGGCCGCCTTCCTGCAGGGAGCCACACACACACACTGACTGATGTTTGCGTGCAGTGGCTGAGAGACTGAGTGGGGCTGCGATGCATGCGTGTCGGACCAGTGCATGCGCGTTAGTGGGCCTGGGACGCGAGACAAAACGGGACGGACAGAACCAGAAACACCTTACCATTCGTCTCCAAAGTCTGGAGAGTCAGTTCCACACACACCCTGAGCTCTAAACGGAGCCCCACATGCTAAAGAGGAGACCAGAGTGGGGAGTGGGGACTGATGGTGGGACACAATATGCTTTGCAGGTCACCACTTACATGCCTGTTGGAATGCGTGTGTGTGTGTTTGCGCCCGCGCGAGTGTGTGTGCGTTCATGAAGCCGTTTTCACACGTGCACTGGAGTCCTGAGATGGATTAGATGCGAGCCGTCTGCAACTCTCACTTTGTGAGGAGACCTGCCCTTCTCCACCCGGCCTGACGGCAGACTCTCCCGATGGTCGGCCGGTTGAGCGAGCTTTTCCAGCACATCTGCTGCTGCTGACCTGCTGGAGAGTTTTCCCCTTTCTTTCGCCTATGTCGTTTTCTGCTCGCTCCAAAAACAGTCTAGCACAGATGCCCGCAGTACTCATACCAACACGTTAAGGGAAGTTGCCCGTTAATCTCAGTGTTATGCAAAACAAAGGCGGGGCCATTTCCCCTGTGTAATATCTTCATCTCATGCGGCCTCTTGAGCACTCACGACCTGCGTTCTCTGCACCCCCCCCTCCCCTGCTGTGATCTACCTGTGTAAACAGCAGCTGTAGAGACCAGACCAAACTGTCCAGACTTCCTCCTGAACATCTCCAGTGATCATGTGTGAAAACAGCTTGTGTGGTTGTATGCATGAGGGGTTGGAAGAAAGGGGTGGGGGGGTGTAACAGTTATATATGTGATCACTTACCAAATGAAACAGGAGGGCTGCGTTAATCAGAGGGTGAACACACAGTTAGACATATCGATACACTCCTGATCAATGTGTGTGTGGTGAGTTTAAGTGCGCATTTGGAGAAATAGGCACATGTTGAAGTGTACAGTAGAAAAAGCATATATGGAGGAACAAAGAAAAAAAAGGGGGGGGTTGTATTTATATCCATTCCACATGCGAACATTTGCTACTCGATTGAGGTCTAAAGGAAGCAATTACAAAATATCCTCAAAGACAACAATCATCTGCCCTGTTTCTCTCTCTCTCTCACACACACACACCTTTGAGTCTTATCAGCTCTATCACAGGCAGACAGACACAGACACACAAACACACCAAACACAAAAGCTCATCACCAAAGTCAACCACAACTACATCAAGACAAACTTTATGTACTCCCAATATGAATGCTTAAGAGTCACACCAACCCCTGGAGTGCGTTTCTACCTCTGGGCAAAACTCCACCCTCTGACACAACTTACTCTTAGGTTTCTAATTTCTCAAGAAGCCACAGGTTTCATTTCCTTCACTAAACAAAGCTGCACATACATGCGAGACAAAACATACATCCGTCACTGTTTTTGTAGTCCTCGTCTTAGAAGAACATTAGAACAGCACAGAGGGGGTCGCTACATGAGAGTTGCACCACTGATCGTTTACTAAAAAGCTGAAAAACATTAAAGGCTTTTTTTTTTTCACAATATGAAAACAGTTGCGTTTTTTTTTTTTCCTGTAATCTGTCGTTGATATTTGCTATAGAATTAAGTCATCAACTATGTTTTAATTGCTGCCACTTGTACGGGAAAGCGTTCTTTTTTCTTTTGTGGAGATCCTAAAAAGTAGCACATTAAGGCAGAACAAAGCTGGAGGACGCATGTTTCCATGTACAACAGTATCTAAGAATTTACCATGGTAGGGCTTTTCATGTACAACAGTATTTAAGAATTTACCATGTTAGGGCTTTTCATGTACAACAGTATTTAAGAATTTACCATGTTATGGCTGAAAGAAGCAACAAGCGTTAAAAGTGATCATACTGGTCACTGACAGTTTAGTTATGTCAGCAACTAAATTGAAAAGAACACCATAAGCTAAAAGTTATCAGGCTGTTGTCATGCATCCAAAGCGTCTGCCAAAATGCATGAACATCATGACAGCTACCAGAGTGGTGTACAGCATGCATCACAAGCAGAAAAAAAGCCTGGAAAGGTTCGATAGGCTGGAACTGATCTCAAAATTATGTTTACCTGTGCCTTTGCTCACCATAAGCACAAATTCCCATATTAACCCAGGTAGGAGCAAAGGTTTTGAGCTCATTAAGCCAATGTATAGGAAAGTTAAACCGCTGACCGTTGACTGCTGATATATGTAACGTATCCACAAAATCTCAGCATAGGATTTGAGTGCGTTTTGTGTAAATGGGTAAAAGGGCAAAGCACACATTCATCACTTATAATACTTACTCCATCTTCCTCCTTGTACGGGCTCAGACGGTTATATACTGCCTCAATAACAGTGCGCCTACAGGGAGAACATGAACACAAAAATGTTAAGTCCCCTTGCCCGTAGTAGTTTAAATAATTCAGAAACGTTACACAGGGAATAAATTCCAGGTAGCCTTTTATTTATCTATATATTTCAATTTTAAAAAAAAGAAATTATGAATTGTGAAGGAAGGGGGGGGGAAAAAACACACAAAAAGACATCTTAATGTTTCTTTGCAATTTGGAGGGTTGTGAGAATCACTTCAATTCCTCCAAATCTGCCTTCATGTTGTCCTGGGTTGCTGGCATGAAAACATCTCATTGAGTAAACCTCTCTGAGTTCCATTGTACATCTACCATTTCACGTGAATCACCACTAGGATGTTATCAAATATTGATCATTTGCAGCCATCTGTTGGGGAACAAAAGATGTGGAAAATTGAAGAATTGGGGCGCTTAACTGCCACTAGAGAAGTCTTGTTGTGGGGTCTGGTATTGTGAGCTTAGCTTGTTGTGTGCTTGTCTGCACTTTCAGAGTAGTGTACGGCTCTCTCAGATGGTTATAATATACTTTTAGTCGTAGTGTAAAGCTGTGCACTATTCTCAAAGGTTGCTCATCCTGCAGAAGAGAGGAAGGAGTAAAAAAATTATAAATAAAGAAAAACTAAAAAGAAAAAAAAGGCACATTCCTCCCCCTAAAATTGGCTGCTTTATAATAGGTGTAAATGCACATCTTGGAGAGGTGCTTTATGGTATTTCTGGTAAATTGACCAGAGATTTGAGTCACAGATTTAATCATGTGTTCCATGACCTTTTGAACACAAGATATAATAATATTTTCCCTTTGGAAGATGGGGCTCCTTACTTGCTAGCAAGACCCCCCCCTGATGGCAGAGCTGGCATTCCACTGTCTGTAGACAGGTTCCTCATCACTGTCACGAGGTCTGGAATCCCCTCCTCTCCTGGTCGAGACAGCATCTCTAAAAAGCAATGGCAGGTATGTTAATACACAATGTATAATGCACAGAAGATCCAGAGAAAGATAATGAAAGCCCCCGTAGAGCAGAGAAGAGAAATCAAAAAGTGGAAAGAAAGTGAGGATGGAAAGTCAATTTGTGGAAATTAGTGCATCAGGGAGACAAAAAAAAAGGTCTGCCGCTGACCCGAGCGTGGCATGAGGCCAGGCCAATGTTCAGCCAGAGCATTCCTTTCTCACCGTCCTGGTTTTTAAATCCCTCTTTTCTGTCTTCCGGTATAGGATTATATCTCAGGCCATCATCCACTTTAGCTGACTAAGAACTAACCTTTCAGTCCTCATCTTAATATACTTTTTACCAAAAATGAAAATGATGAATTTCATCCACTGTGTCATCAAGTCTTGCTATAAAAATAATTTCTTTAAAAACCTGCAAATAAAACTAGCTGACTAGTAAAGACGAGAAATATCTGAAAGAGCTGACCATTCCTGGTGTTGCACAAACAAATGACCGGAGAGAAAGTTTTCTAGAAAATGATGCCGTCTATCGAAGGTTCTCAGGCTTGTGGAATGAAAAAAGAAAAAAGGACAATACTTGAAAAGAACACAAAGACAGGGAAATCTATCCAAACAATGTTGGAGCAAGAAAAGGGAGAATGCCTTTAAGCAGCAAAAGAGGAGGATAAAGAGGGAAGATGCTCACTGAAATGGAAAAGGATGTCGTGATAGTGCCATCCCTCCTTTCTGAGCAGCGGCTAACTTGACTGGAGCTTAGACAATAGCGAGTGGCAGGCTCACTCAATCGAGAACACACACAAAGACATGATATACTATTTTTTGAAAGGAGGATATCCTTACTGAGAAAGAGACCATAGAACGAGTCCCTGCTACACCAAAGACTTGCAGCAAGAACCAAAATTACAAGACTATCTTTAAAGGACAGCCACTACACTTAATTTTTTTTATATTTAATTTTTTCTTAATTCTATGTATATGTTGCATGTTCTGCACCACAACCACAACAAATTCCTTGTATGTAAAAATAAACATGATTCTGATTCTAAAGCACATCGAGTATACTCCCATGAGAAAGTACAAATTCATTTTAATCTTTCAAAAAATAAACACACCAGGGCTGTTCTCATGAGACATTACAAACAACAAAAAGAGCCAATGAAAGCTTTTGATATAAGTGTCCATCTAAATATTCTTACCTTCCACTCGAGTCTCCAGGTATTTGTTGAGTTCAGCTTCTTTCCTCACAGCTTCCTCTGATACTTTGGGAGCATTGGGCAAACACACCAACACAATACTCATGTTATCCCGGCTTCCCTAAGATCAATAGCAAAAGAAAGGTCAAGAAGAGTTCATGTGGATTGTTCGAGGACAAAGATACAGATCATTTTCTGGAGTAAATGCTGGACAGGTCAGCTCAAGTGTTCATTCGAAGAGATTGCCCTGAGACGTAATATCATACACAGTAAAAACACACCATGTGCTGCACCACTTCCCATTTTAAGCCCTGACATTGTTTGAATCCAGCTGAACCTACTGATCTTAAAATTATGCTAAAAAAACAGATTTTAAAAAACACTGACATACCTTGTGCAGGCAGGTGTCCACCACTTCATTACAGACTCTCTCCAGGTCATCGCACACCTCAAGTCTAGACTTCACAAACTCGCACAACTCTTCATTAGACATGACATCCCAGATACCATCACAAGCCAGAATCACAAACTGATCCTGTTCCGGTGCCCGAACCATTACAACCACTTCTGGTTCTGGGCTGACCAGCTGCTCTGTGGGGCCCTTCCCATCCACACACTTGTAATCATAGTCCCCCAAAGCTCTTGATACAGCGAGTGAGCCATTGACCCTCTGGATCATCACTGAGCCACCAGCGTTCTGGATGCGCTCCCTCTCGCGGGGGTTGCAAGGCTTGTGGTCCAGTGTGGAGAAGCACACCTGTGAATTACGGCACAGAACGGCTCGAGAATCCCCGCAGTTGACGAAGAAGAAGTGTTCAGGTGACAGAAGAACTCCAACTGCTGTGGAGCCACTGCGATCCATGCCGTTTCGGAGGTCAGAGAAGCTGCGCATGTGCTCATCAATCCTCAGGAAGCCTGTCCGGATCCCGCTTTTAACAGCCTCCGCTGCAGGGGGAAGTGGTGCTGGAGGGTCACTGCTGGAGCCGTCCGAGACCACCTGGGAGCCGTGCGAGCATCCAGGTCCAAGGCTAGCAGTGATTATGTGTTCCAAAAGGTGCTTAGAGCAGTAGTTGGCAACTCTTGACCCAGCATGTCCATCGTACACGGCAAAAAAGGACCAGTCGGTCATGCCAGGAGTTGGCAGTCCCAGCACAGCTGTGTGAGCGTCCTCCATCTCCACCCGCCACCCCTGCATAGAGCTCAGTCCATAGCGCAGGCCGTTCCCCTCACCGTGTGCATTGTGCTTCTCCGTCTTGGGCTTGTCCAGAAAAGCCCCCATGGCTCTGCCCTAAATGGACTCACTGCTACCTATGTAGGGAGACAAAAAGACAAGCGGGGGACAATAATTGAAATACAAGACACTGAAGTAGATTTTCAGAGAGAAAAAAATAATGATAGTTTTGTTTACTATCCTGGACAGCTAGATGGAGAGGAAAAAAAGGCCCAGTTGTGGAGCATCATGACATGGGCATGTTTTCAGCAGCAAAGAAAAGTTCTTAGAACTTAGGGAAATGGATTGTACTAAATATGGAGAGATCATTGAGGGAAATCTGTAAAACCTTTGTAATCACTTTTTGGATAATTATAGAAGGTCTTCAGCGCAAATACGTAAAATAGCTCTGGTTTATATTTGTAAATGACCAAACGTTACAGAGACACATTAATTTCAGTGTGGACTTTCCTTAAGAATTCACCAAAATAATGTATTTCATAAGGAAAATTTTGTTGAAAATCATTTTGGCTTATTTAGACTCCTGTAGGCAAAGCATAGTGCAGAAAAAAAAAATAAAAAATCTCAGACAAATATCTGCATGTCTGAACTCTGCAACGGTCCCCCAGAGACTAGGGGTGCTACTTACTTTATAATGTTTACTTAACAAGCCTAAAGAAAATAAATCCACTAAAAAGGTGATAACTGCTCAACAAATCCAGAAATAGCACAACCACTTTGGTTTATGTTTAAAAAGATTGAGGAGGAAGCTTAAAAGCTTCTTTGGCCAGTCACAACTGCCTACTAAAAGCATCAACAAACTCCACAGAGTGCTCACGAAGATGTGTTATCTCACAATAACTCACCCTGCATTAGCCAAGTGAACAGTAAAAACAGGTTGTTTGATAAAAGAATAATTCCATCTCGAATAACTCCAAGTTGATTGTTTATGTAATAGGAGAACATATATAGTTTTAATGAATACTTAGTGAGTACATTACTTAGAAAAATATCAATAAAGGCATCTTAAAAGCATATTGCGGGTACACTGAAGAGTCAATATCTTAATCACCAGATGGATAACTTTAAAAGGTAAGTCATATTTTGTTAAGGATGAGAAGTGCCAAACTTAGCAAACTTTTCCCATTGATAATTTACAAAAAACATATGGTTTACAGTCATTTCTGTTCATTTTGAATAAAAAAAACAAAAGAATTTTACCAAATGACAAGAGAAGTGAACTACAAGCACTTTCTACAAAGCCATGATAGGTTATTACGATTAAAAAAAATAAATAAATAAAAACAGTCAAACATGTTCATTCATACTGGCCGCGCAGAGGCGGTGCACCTCTCAATGCGTGCTTTCAAAGATCATGTGATGAAATCTAATGACGAAAACATCTCGGTAGAGAACTACATTTTTTATGCATAAACAGAGAAAGGATTGCTTGAAAATACTAGTATAGTATAAATTCTCAATAAAATGTGATGCTGAATAAGTAGACTCTCTAAAAACCTTTGACTGGTTTCTTAGTGGTCAAACTTCTCTAAGTTAAGATTTGGGGAAAAATATTAGATGACAGACTTAAGTGACATCACTTCTTTGGATCCAGCCAACTCAGGCTAAAATTGGTGCATAAGTAATACAAGTAGCATCACACCTACAATAGAGACAAGGTTATATTTAATCTATATTTAAAGGACTGAGATTTTGATGTAGATTTGTGTAACCATGACGAACCAGATTTTTTATAGTAGACCTTTAAAGCAACATACAAAGAATGTGCTCCGGGAGGGCAGCACACAAATTACACATTGGCGCAACTTCAAAGGGTCAAGGGGCATCAGTAGTAACAGTAGTAATGCCGCTAAATAATTACATGGAAAACTGTATTCACACCCAGCATTAATCTTATTACTGAGTGAATACCAAACCGTGTGCCCAAACACAAAAACCAAACCACTTTCACTCTTTTAATTATGCTGCCTCAACTGATACAGAGGGTGATCATGCTTTACTGCAAGAAAAGGACCACAGGAACACAACTGCAATATAATGAATAAATCAGTCTTACAGGAAAAGTAAAATACCACCATTTATCATTATAAGAGTCTGATAGCTCCATGGGAACACATGGGATTGGCAGCTTGGTGACTGTCATGGCAACAAACATAAGGAAGTGCTCCCATGTTAAAAGACGACTTTACGGCGTAACAGAATGCGTTTGCAGAAAATCATGCGACTATTTCGAAAGCACTTATACATTTTACCTGTTAGGATCAAAGGTGGCAAAGCTGAGCTTTCTCTGATTTCGTCATGTTTCAAGACTCGCGGCTGAAAGCTAGCCAGCAGACCAGCTCAGAACAACCACTGTTCTCAGACTTCAGACAAGCAGGACAGCATTAACAAGCTAACTCAATTTAAGATTCAGCCACTGATGGGATCCACACAGGTCCAGATTAGCCTGTCAAACGCAGCAAAGAGTCTGTAAACATTACCACTGACATTAAAAGAACATTTAGAGAAAATATCGGAGTTTAAAGTAGAAAAAAATAAGCAGCATTTCTTACTGTGAAAAAAACAAACATACATTTCATTTAGCGACTGCTCAGATCGTTTCTGGAACGGAATAAAGAACTAAAATTAAAATCCTGATTTGTACACATTAAAACTTAATACACTCTACAATACGTACATAGCACAAGAAGAGGAGTAGGACTCTATGACTAGTTGGAGGGATAAAAAAATTTTTTTTTTTTTTTTAAAAGAACTAATACATTATTTTCTTGTACCACAAACAGACTAAGTCAATCCTGGGTTTAACATGGCATTCCAATGTGTGTGTGAAGATGCCACTGTCCACTTTTATGAACCAATCACCATACAGTTATTTCCCACACGCTTCCAAACAAAAAAAACATTCCAGTCCGATCGTGGTGAAAACAAAGAAAATGTTCCCGTGGTCCACAAACACCAAAATCAAGACATTTCAGATCTATGACACCATGATAGGAATCCAATGAGCAATAACTTTCCTACACAGAACCATACCATGGAGGGAAAGGAGAATTTACTACAACTATACTCAACTTTAGTGGTGACACACTAAAGCTTGAACTGTTTTGGGTCCATATTTGGGTCCGTGGATTGTCTTTGTCCTTTAGTTCTATGACCTTGTGTATTTTAATAAAAAATATTATTTTGTTACTGAAAACAATTATGGGAACTTTATGTTAAAATAGTCAAATTTCAACACTTGAAATTCAAAAGTTTTAGAAATTCTGGCCTGTTCCAAGCTTTACTAAATTAAATATTCAGGGTATAGCACATGTGCCTTTGATCACAGATAATCTTCCACAGACTGAGGATAGTGCACATTATGTTCAGGTGGTAATTTATTTTAATTCTGCAAGAATGTTACTTCTTTATGTGATTCTTATTCACAATAAAAATGAACACATGGTCCTTAAAATTACAGGAAAACATTAGCTTTTTCATTTGCAAATACACATACAACTTATTAATGCACATGATTAATTAATTCCATATTTGGACATGACCAAAGACATCCTCTCTGCAGTTTTCATTTCCAGTTGTGAAGCGCCATTACTAGAAGGACGGGTAAATACTAAAACAATCAATTTCCTCTAATGTGCTTATATTGCCTTTTAGGCATGGGATCAACTTTCTGCTGATTATGCATCCATTATGCTCATCCACCTTTGATGGAGTAAAAAGAAACATTCAAAAAGAGATGGTGTTACCCGTTATGATAAAAGATTGTCACTGCCAGGGAATCAGAACAATGAGAGTCCTGCTTTACACAAACTGGAGAGGTGAAACATTTTTTTGATGACCCATTTAAATCATATTAAAAGTGATCAATTTCCTGGAACTGGAGCCCATTGAACACAATCGGTAGTGCAATCATTCAGTACTGTGGCGTCAGGGACTATGGGGCCGTTACTTTACCAAACTACTGGAGTCTATCAGACTGTAGCCAAAGAGGGGGAAAGTAAATGTGTCATGTTATACTAGACGGAGTGGTTTCTTGGCAACCAAAAGAGCATGTGTGCTTATATATAGCTACTTTCTCAGTCGAGAAGTTTGCCTTGTAATTTGTCTTCCAGGCATCAAATGTTAAGACACACAAAAATGTGTAGCAAAGAGTTTTCGTAACAAATGGGTTAGGAGCAAACCAAATTCCTGTGAAAAACTGTAAAAGCACACACAAATTGTTTGCATAATAATTCAATTTTAAAATTGCAAATTGGGTCATCAATGTTGCAATTCTTACATCTTTTTCCTCCCAGACACAACCAAGAATTCATTCATCAACCCATGTAGACATGAAATAATCTTTCAGCTATTCAAAGCTTTCCAGTTAACTAGGCATCCCAGCATACATCTGAGTGTGATGTGATTCAGTACAAACAGACAACCAAAAGAGTGGAGATTAATGTCACTGGACAAGCCCATAGACTCACAGTAGTCACAGGCTAAAACAGCATGGCGAGTGCAGGATTTCACATGAAGGTGCCAACACAAACATGCCACTGATTATGCTGCCATTTCTGGACCACACCGTCTCACAAAACACGGCAAATAGCTCAACCACACACAACAAAAACAAAATAAAAAAATACCCACAACACGTCAATAAAACCAGGCGGGTATTTCTCTTGTGTTTGTGTGCACATACATCTGAAATCAAACTTAGACAAGCACCTCCGCCTTCAGGGAAGGAAGAATATGCTGTGTCCATTAGCAGTGCAAATGGAATTCAGCATTAATTACCATGGTCGTAAAGAGTTGAGGGTGGGGGGGGGTTAAAGCTATTTTATTGGCCTTTAATCGCGGAAACTGTGTTCTGAACAAACAGCAATCAGGATGAATTCACCAGGTCTACGTGAATCACACCTGTTGCAAACACTAGAAGAACACATTTCCCAAACCATATTAACTGAAAAACAAATTACACGTCTTACGAAAAATCATCTGCAAAGAAGTTCAGAAACAGGGGTGCACGTATTCAAAACCTCCCAAGCAGACGTGGTATTTGTTGAAAGGTCTATGTGCTATCTGGCAGACAGATGCTGAAAACATGTTTGGAAAGAACGTTTAGCGAAAAGTCGTTTAACCAAGTGAGACACGGCCCTGTTTACGAGTGTCACATTAGCAGGACTCCATACCATATTCATGCAAACATATTCGAACAGCTATATTTTATAGTATCAATTCATAATGAATGTTTGGTAAGGGAGTAGCTTCCTTAAATAAAACCGAGGCCGCTTGCACAACATGAAAAGCAGCTAACGAAGTTCACAGTTGTCAAATTGTTGTTTAACGTTACACGGTAACGGTTGACTAGCCCCGCCTGACACGTTGCTCATTTAAAGTACCAGGCATTACTTACGTTTCTAGAAATTGAGCGTCTCAATCCTTCCTCCTCCTAGAATATAGGGTATGGTAAAGCAGACAGGCTTGTCGTTTCAGGCAAACCTAGTTGCTGTTAGCCGCTTTCAATTCTCGACCCCTGTTCGTCAGCTAGCTTTGATTAAGCTAGCAAGCATTTCAGACGATAAGTTCTCCTTTCAGCATGTCTCTACACCGGAATAAGGCTTTTATATACATGTTTGCATCTTTAAACAAAGTAAGCATCAAATGGATAACTCTTACAAAGTTTGTCTGCTGAAAAGAGAAAATATCCGTTGACACAGACTACATCTATGTGATTAACACCAAGCTAATTTTTTTTTTGGGCTAAAGCTAAAAGTATGAGGCGGATGACGTTCCTTTTCAGCAACCAATATGAAGGCGGGACCACCATTGTTCACTGCTATGATTGGATAAAACCTGGTTCAGATCCAAGAATGGATTGGTCACATAATGAGTCAACCAGCGGCAATATTTGATGGACAGTCTGTAAAATAATTTCCCCAAAGATTTCCCATCATTGGCTGTTGGTACAAGTAAAGCTTTAGAGTTATCAATCTGGGTGAAAGTACATTCGTGATAGTGGTATTTTGAAAATGACTGTGAAAGGCATTTTCAGTTCTAGGTTGACAGCTAATAAATATTTTATTACTAACAAAACATGGGGGTGATCAGTTAAGCCCATTAATGGAGTCATGCTTTCTTATTTTATCTTTTAAATACGTACTTATATATTTATTTGGCTATATTTCCTTATACCTCTCATCTTGTATTCACATGGTTAGAAATAGTAAGTAGTAGTGGCGGGCGGTACTGAATCCTGTTAATGCCATAAATGAGAATCTACTGTGGCCAACATGATCAACTGATTTGTTACTGTCAAATATGAAAATACAAGGATAAGATGACAGATACATGAAATGTTATGTGAAACAATGTCTTGATAATGTTTATGCAGGCTTTAATATGTTACCCTCAGGTTATTTTTCTTGGTGGAATTTTTCAAGGTATCTTTCTTGCATGATACCCATGCTAAAGGACAGTCGTAGTAGTCTTCTTAACTTCTCAATGTTTTTTCTTATCGTGAACTGTTGTCTTTAAATGTTATTTTTAGCCTTTTACACCTTTGTGCGTCAGACTGTCTGCAATCAGACTTTACATGGGTGCAATTATAGGGAGGGGCATCTCAACAATATACTGTTCTATTCTAAGTATTCCTTTGTAGGCATGCTTGTCATTTCAACATTTGCTTAGCAGTATGATCGAAATTGTCATGTCTGACAAGTTTTTTTATAATATCCACTGTGCCCACTGTAGTTTACAGTTCAAATTATTTTAAAACACTGTTTAGATTGGAACTATGAGGAAGTTAATTTGCCCCTGAACCAAAAGCTCACAATAGTTTTGAGTTAGCTCCCATGGGGTGATGGCTTGGTATTATTATCTTTGTATAATCTAATGAGATGTTTCGTAAGACGATTAAACAATTTATAAGACAAAGGATGGCAATTCTTGATTAAATTACTGAAAAACATCATTCAACTGCAGTTCAGTTTCAAATTAAGTTTAAGTTGTTGTGGATGTTCAAATTCTGACCAAATCAAATAAAAAAAGATTAGGTGGTTCACCTTAGAAATGCTTGATTAAACTAGATTATTTCTACTTGCAATTGTTTTTAATTACGTCTTGACATGACTATCAAAGGCTCGGTGAGTTAACACAATGATGTCAGTATTTTCTACAAATATCATTCATGTCTTCATTGCAAATGACAAACATTATAGCTTTCAGTCGCTCAGTATATTGACACTACTGTATGTCAATTAATATTCATGTGTTGAGAACAGATGGGTTAACAGCTTCTGCCCCAGGCACTTGTGTTATGAGCCACATAGTAAAATAAGATTAGACACACACAAGCTGCTTCATTTGGCAGTCAATACTTTTTCTATTCAAATAAGCATAAGTTAAATAAGTAAAAATTCAGTTAAGTGTTGCCTTTTTGTGTATCATATGTGAAGACAAAGCAAACTAGTAGCCTTGGCCTTTGAATGCGTTTTGTCTTCTTGTATGAAATCACCCCGTGCCTGATCCTCTCTGCAGAGTGCAGCAATCATGCCTTGCCTTGCTCTCCGCTCTTCAAACACAAGAGCACTTGAAAAGCTGATTTCCTGCTCCTCAGAGGGAGCAGGTTTCTTTTGTCGACTGAGGAGCCAGGTCAAAACAACAATTGTTGGCAAATTGTGCCTGAAAATTTACGATGCTCATTTGATTTACATATCATCTTCATGAGTCCACTCTTCAGGCCTCCTTGACTGCTCACAATGTTACATTAGAGCTTCATCAAATGTTTATGAGGGCAAATCAATTTAATTTCCTCGGCCAACTAGAGTGTGTGTGCGTGTGTGAGAGAGACAGAAAGAAAGAGGCAATGCACACTGCAACCCCATATCAATGCATGTTATGTGAAGGGGCAGGGTGCTCCCTCTGCTTAATGGGATTAAAGACATTAACAAACTGTTTACTAAATGGGGACCTCTCTCTCCGGCGTTATCTCTAACTCTCTGCCTTTGTCTCTCACTTTCTCTCTTCCTCACTGTCCACAATTTACTTTTTTCCTCCATCTCTGATCGCTAATCAGCAAGACGGCCTGGAAGTGCCTGGGGGCTGAATACAAATGAGTGCAGCTGCCCAGTGCAGATTACTACCACACACAGGCCTGCCCGCCACATACAAGTTCACACATGTTTGCATACTCAGAGAAATCAGTACATGTAAGCAGTCTAGATTTAACTGGACATCTGTCATTCACATGCATGCCCCACACATGTCTCGCTACAAATTTATCTCACGCATACACAAACACAAGCACAGAGAAAGCGAGACAGAAGCAGCTCAGATAACATGTCGGTAACTTCCAGTAGCAGACATATGCCCGGACACACCCGGCACTTTTAGCGTGTCACAGCAGCATATGTGCACATGGCCGGTATGTTTGTGTGTGTCTGTGTGTGGTGGGGGGGGGTGCTGCTGCACCCATATGTCGCCAGTCATCAGCGAGGCCCTGGCCTCTCTTCATTTTCTTTTCCAATACACAACAACAAAAACTTAAGAAGAGCAATAAATATTGGAACGAAATTCACGGTGTTTGGTTTTCTCTTGTGGCAAAATCGGTGGTGGCGCCTCCCTCTCTGTTTAAAACCTCATCGCAATCTGCGACCTGAGTGTTGTCATATGCGTTGACCAGTGAGCCCCAATGCCAGGGAGGGAGAATCTTAATGTTGGACTCAGTGGCCCCTAAAAGGCAGGTGATGAGGCGATGTAAGGTTACTCCACTTTTACATCAACATTTATCCCGCTGTTCTTCAGCTGAAATGACATCCTCCTACTCTTCAGGTTGAACTGGCCAAAAAAAAACCTTAATGGACATGAAATCAGTGTAATTTCAGTGCTGTTAAATATCGCAGCTGGCCTCAGTTTGCAAATGAAAGCCCTGCCTGAGTGCACTCACTGTGCTGGGTCAGAAATGAAATGGCCATTGTGGCAGTATCACACCTCCATCTAGTGGTAAAGAGAGGTGGAACTGCTAAATTTGGCGCATCTTCAATGTGTTTCTGAAACTCTTTTTGAAACTGAAACTGAAATCAGTAAATATGTATTGTGTTTCCGGTGAAGTTCCTTTACAATTTCGACTTTTCGTGTAAACTTTAAGTGTAAACATGCCTGGGACCGTGTCTGGGACAGTTTGTACGTTGGATTCCTCTCGACTGCTTGTCAGAACTACATCGATGATCACGTAAGGGGCACATGGTCAAGACAAACACAAACATGATAATTGGTCAAACACCCATAACGGGTACAATATTACTATTAAAGACACAGAATTACCCAAGAAATACATTATAACTAAAGACAGAGAACATCGTAACTAAGATTTGAGGTTTCTAAACCATCCATTCTTATAACCGCTTATTCCCAAATGGGGTCGCCTAACCCAGTAGTCAATGGGCAAGATGCAGGGTACACCCTGGACGGTCTGCCAGTCCATTGCAGGGCCACACAGAGACACACCACACACACTCACTCCTAAGGGCAATTTGGAATGTCATAACATGCAGCTATTTGGACGGTGGGAGGAAGTCGAACAACCCGGAGAGAGAACCCACGCAGACACAGGAACAACATGTGAACTTCACACAGAAGGGCTCCGGTTCCCCCAGGGTTCAAACCCAGAACCCTCTTGCTGTGAGGCAATGGTGCTAACTGGTACACCACCGTGCCCTCCCGTTTATAAACAGTATGATCAAATTCTCTTTGTAAAAGTGGCTAACAAGAACAGGAAACTGCAGCATCTTTCCGTGCAAATACCATTCACCATTAGTGTTAACTTATATATTTAAAAGTTTCATTCTCATGTTCTTTATCACTTCATCACTTTTTTTTTACAGTACTAATTATAATTAATCCAAACAATTTTAATTAAATCTGGACTGATCTCTGACTTTTTAATTTTTCTGCTAAAGTCATGAAATATTCACATCAAGAAAAATATCCAGAATACTCTGTGGGGGATCTGACTTCAACTTGCCCTCTGCACAGCACCTTGTGACAAGAATAACCTGAATGGTTATTCAAATGGCAATAAAGGGATTGATTTACTGTGTGAGCTGTATGCCAAGGTGACTCAGGGAACTCTGAGTATACTAACAATTTTTATTTTTTCTCTGTGATCTCTTTTTGACTGATATTGGGGGAAGAGTTCAGCTGGAAGAAATCATTTAACAAAGCAAGGACGATCTTCTCCCTGAGCAGGCAGAGGAAAGGCCACCACCCTCTGTCTCTGCATCTTCATCATCCTCATCATCTGCGTGAGCTCTTCTTCTGTCTGCATTTCTGTTCGCTCTTGAGCATGTACCTCGGTGATCTCACCAAAGGCAACATATCAAAGATTTGTTTGGGCTTACAGAAGGTGTGGGTTTATGCTCCGAGAATCCCAAGAAACGCAATTCTGCAATCAATGCCAAGTCTCACAATGAAGTCTTAGGCACGGAACTATTATGATGAACATGGTGGGATTCGTTTTAGTAAATATACATCATCAGCTTTTTATCGAAGGGGGTAAAATGCATAAAAACATTGAGGGAAAAAGATGGACTTAAGGACCTCAGGACGTAACTGGTTAAACCTGCTGTGACTGCATGTTGAATTGCTGAATATGGTCGTCTGCAGTTTGTTGAGGGTGCTGTTATAAGTTTGGTAGCACAGCAACACTGTGCAGAGGTCAGAAAGGCTGGCTCACTGGCACAAAGCAGCCGGGGTTCTGCTTGTGGTAGGACTGCACTGCACCAGCTTGCTCTTC